ACAATTTGAAGTGGCTAGTCTAGGTACTTCATCTTTAAGTCGAGGAATCACCATCGGTCGTGTAGAGAATAAGACGTGTAGTTCGCCAACATTAAAAGTTCTTTGAACTGATTTTCTTAATTTACTCGTAATTATTTCACTTGGTGTATCGCCCTTGAATTGCAGTCATATATAAAGATGTTTCTTGTTTAGGAATAGTGAGTAGTCCTTTACCGCTTTGTTTGCAATTTGTTTCTTGATAAATTTGTCGGGATATCTATTTTCGATCAAAGTATCGTATACAATGCTGAATTCATCTTCAATTACTTCTTCTGAGCGAAAAGCTCTAACTCTGTGGCTAAGGGTCTTTACTAAATTTCTTTTGTACTTGAGAGGAACGAAGCTGTGAAATTTTGTTTAGAGTCTTATTTTACATGACAGTTAGTCACTGCAGAAATATCTTTTTGTAATCATTTGTGTAGATATCTTACATCACACCAACAAGGTGAAACCTCTGCAGACTTTAGAATAGTTACACTAACACATCCATTTTCTATGCACTCACTAAATTACTGTCCGCAAATCTCTTTACATAAATTAATGAGAATTCTAAATATGTAATGCTGCTCAAAGAATTAGACAATCAATATCTGATGAAAGATCAAACATAGTTCCATGCTCCCCTCTCCTTATGTATTTGGAAACCGTTTCGCTTTGACCCTGGCAAATTTCAAACAGCTCAGGTGGCATTCAACAGAAATAGGACATTTTTAATAATTACGGAGCATGGAAGCTATTCATGCATTATGAAGTTCACAATAACTTCTCACATTTTCTCTGAATACAGTTGTTAATGTGTAACAACTTGAACAATAGTTATGTCTTACTTAAGAAACAATCATTATAGATATCTGTGAGCACTATGAACTGCAGATTAAGAGTAATTCAGATTTTGACTTCAATCTTAGGATAACCAGCCTGACGGATGTCATATTAATTATATGCCACCAACAAAGGAATACAACTTTCTTTAAGAGTTATAATGGAAGAAATACACTAAGCTGGAAATGAATGTAATCAAATTTTGCAGCATTGCTGAATATTAAACAGTGAAATACTTCTAACAATCTAAATGAAAGAACTGTCAGAAGACATCCCAAATGTACCATACACTGCAAAATTGAGCCATAGGAAGTATATCACTATTTGTTACGAATTTTCTATTTATAGTGTGAAATTTACAAGTATTGTAATAAATTGAAGAAATCTAAACAAACATAAGTTATTATTTAATTGGTGGACGGTGACTAGCAGTGGAATCCAGGATGCGCATTTCGTCCTATTTGGGACTCGTCACTGGATGTACCTGCATTTCTCAGTTATATTTTCCAGTTAATACTCTTGTTACTCATAAGTAGTATAATCTATGACGTTATTATTTTGGCCCTAAGAGTAGGTGCCGAATATGTGTACATCGTGGGAACAGGTTAGTAAATATTAGTCCTTAATATTAATTTGCTTTAACGAGGTATTTCAATAATAAAACAGTATTATTGTTCTGTTGGGTTCCTAGTGGATGGAACACAGGCCTTCAATAGAACATCTAGATTTTGTCCTGTTCTCTCTGCCGGTCTCTTTAGCTGGCCCCTCGATGTCACCCTCAGACTCCCAACTCCAACTGGAAAATTTGGGTTCCATTCAAGAGCCTAGTGCGCGATGTCATACCTTAACTCCATTCACCTGCTCCTATGGAGCTACGTACGTCCTTTAAAAACGTGTTAGAGGACGCTATCCAGTATGGCTGCATACTAAATACCTCATCAGGACATATCACAGCATCTCTCAACTGACTCATCTTTCACAAAGTGAATAAAAATCTACTAAAAGTATTATGCTTCCAACCTGTCTGTACTGCAGAAGCCTTATTCATATGTGTCGAAAAAACAGAGCTGTATTCATAAAGAAAATATTCCAACCTCTACATTTACCGTGAATCTACTTCCGTTTGGCGTTTTAGTGTAATCGTCATTTTCTTTTCATTCCTATCATATTGGTATAAAAACTATTATTTCAATTCGTTTCTACTCAAATACTGTTCACACCTGCCTTCATTAAAAACTACCCAACATATTACGCAACTACTTTCTCATTCTATGTCACTTTTGTTCCTATATCCTTTGTGATTCATATTCACACCTTCATATTGTATTGCAAATAATCGTCTCCTTTAACCTCCCTTCGTTATTATGTTGAATTAAATAACAATTGCAACTGTGTGGACTTATGTACAGCTTTTGAGGAGGAAATCGCCTAGGAGATATCTTTGCTGAACTTCTTGTTCTTTTCTCTATAATATCCTGATAGGTATTTTCCATGATTTAAATTCAATTATCATATTTACCCCACATGTCGTCAATTCATGTATGAACAAACTTCATTTAGTTATTTAAAAAGAAATATTACGTTCTAAATACTGATAATGATAGTGCTTTCATTAAAAAAGGTCTTCTTATTTTTCTTCTACCTTCTTCAAACTCTTGCTCATCTTTATTCAAGTTTCACTTCCTTTACCGTTTACAATTCAGCAATAACCAAGCTCCCTTTCTGTTGACTTATACCTACGTTCTATTTTTGACACACGATAATCTCTTCCAGTAAAAATAAGTGACGAACTGTATAGTATTCACTAATTTGATCATTATGTCTGTTACTGTAAGCAACTCTTATTCGTACTGCACTCTTTCTAGATTTATATTAGTTGGATGTCATACTAATTCTCGTTGGTCACGACACTTGCCCATTATTTTAAGCTAAACAATCTCTTCTCATGCAAATGATACACATTCCTACTAAATCAATATTTCATACAATTATTCCACTTTATGAATTTGAATAAAGCAAGAACAACAGTTTGTGCAGAATAAAATGGTACCACCATTCATTTCCTTGGCTTCTCATCAGCTGCTTACATTCCAAAGACATTATTAAGTTTATGTATAGAAACAATTTTAACATACTTATACGGAGAGTTCATTTTTAAACAAAAAATTCATATGTGCATACAATGGTAAAAATAATAATCACTTTATCCCAAACAATAGTAATCATACACAATGAAATTTTCGGTGTTATGCAATCAAATAAAAGACAGGATGAAAATATCCAGTTATCAGGGAAAGGAAACACTGATAATCGCTTCTTTCTCAACGCATACATCGGGTTTCACGCACGTAATGGAGATTGCTTCGGCTAACTTGAGGAGGATTGAACTCTTTTGTCTATTGATAATTTTAAACGGTCTTGTGACGTCCATCTCAGGACCCGTGTCAAGGAGATGCCTGGTGATGGCACTGTTGAAAGCATTTGTCACCCGCTCGAGAGGTAGGGTTTTTGAAACATGTTCAGGAAATCGAAGGTATGCCCTTCTTTCTATTTTCACAATGTACCTGCTTCCGCAAATACATGTAAATTTATATACACAGTTGGAGTAAACATGAGAAGGGTATCTGACGACTCTTCATTGCACCAAAGAGCATGTTGTTGTTCTTGCTTTATTGTAAATTGATATTCAGGGTAGCACAACTGGGACTATCGAAGTTTATAAGCTGTAATACTGACTGACTGGTTTCAACGTAGAACTTCGCACAGATGTGCAGCAGTTCGAGTTGCCATTGTCCCTCCATGTACCACACAAAGCAAGAGAAGAGAGTAAACAAAGATTCAAAAGAGAGATAAAACAGAAGTGCGAGGCAAAAAGAATAGTAATATGGGAGAACAATAAAATTTTCTTGGGTATGATAAATCACAGAGTGAATGTATATGCGCCAGCATTGGAACGATTTTGAGCCATATCACCAATTGTCTCCAGCTGTCATCGGTTCTTTCCATCTCGAAGACTTCAACCAGTCAAGAAGTCTACACCTCCCAACGTGGCTGACTGCCTACCCCAAACTAAGTGTTGTGGATTTCATTGACTGATGAGACCACCACTAGCCAACTCTTTTCCAACCTCATCCATCCTATGTCAGCTAACATTGCCCGTTGGTCGAGTATGGCGATTGATAGGCTAAGAATGCGTAACACATGTCCTAACTATCTCAATCCATGTACCCTCACAACCTCGTCGATTGATTTCCCCTCCTTATCTAGCACTCGACCAAAGCCTAACCTCAATATTGTTCACCCTGTTATTACCACCACATCACACGGGAGATAGAACACGGGCACCTATGATCAAAGATAGCTAACCAGCCTTTTCATGTCTTCCAATCTCAATGGCCATGTCTCACTCACAGCCATAAAGGAGGACAGAGAAAACTGTGGCTGAGCAGTACACACGCCCTTTGATTGACAGCCAACCGGATATCAAGTCTACTAAGCCAGAGATGACGTAAGTTGGCAGACATATGCCAAACGAGCCTTCTGTATCCGTGCTGAGATTTCGTCAGTGATCGATCCTCTGGGGATGGCTGATGCAACTTCTCAAATCAGTGAATTGGTCAACACTCTCTACCACTTCACTCCTGCCTATCTTTAAGCTAGGAGTGGGTAGATGTAGTCCAGTCCAGTCCAGTCCTGTGGCCTCATCGTCTTACATTTGATAGTAGGAGCGAATCGCATGCCAAACATTCGAAGACTGATGCTCAAGGTGTTCAGAAGACTCTTCTCTATTATGTCAGCGTCTTCACCCCAATGGGAGGACTATATCATCTGCATATTTTAAGTCATCGAGTTTATCCCCTGCTCAAGCAACAAGTCAATCCGTGAGTGGCTGAAGTCAGTTAGGGTTACGTCCATTAGTAAATCTATGATAAAATTAAATAGAAATGTAGACAGTGGGCATCCATGACGGACACCACTGGTTGTCACCATTTCAGATGACAATTCACCGTAGACTCTCACCTGGCTGTATGAGTTCAAGTAGAGTACCTTAAAAGCGGTAATACCGTGAAGAGGATTGTAATTTCTCAATAAGTATAAAGACTGAAAACAAGTACATAGAAAAATATACATTTATTCTTACGAGATTCACACTTTACAAATTTACATAGTACTGTTTTTTTTTACAAAACTCAATATTGAATATCATTTATAAATAGCAATAAAAAGATGGTGAAATAACTTCTCTGATCATGTTTTAGGAATAATAAAAGGATCAGCATAATGCCCAATCACTTGATTGTTTGTTGAAAATGATAAACGATAATCTCTACACGATATACATTGTATGTCCAAAGAGATTAACTCAGAACAATCTTTGGGGGGTGTTGACACAGATTGACGTTCAAAACAACATCCTATACTAGACATTAACTCTTTATCTGACATTATTAGACAACTGATATGCATAACTTTTGAACAACCGGGATTAATACACTAAAATAAAACAAAACAAAAGTTATTATAGTTAGTAATAATGGTATCTGTTTCATAATGAGAAAGGATAAAAATATTGTTGTTATTATTATTTGTTACTATCATTATCCTATTAGAATTACAATACGTTGGACTGAAAAAAGACACTAAAAGATATGGACTTGGCAGATGACTTTTGTCTCACAAAGGAGAAGATGATGTACACGCGAAAACCAACAGATAGAGGAAGAGGCAGCGAAGACAGGATTACAAGTGAACATCAAGAAGACAGAGGTGATGGACATACGCGACTAACCAACAACAAACACCAGTAACTTTCAAAAAAATCAAAAGAAGTCATCTCCTTCACCCAGTTGACCAGGACAGGATCGTTTCAACTACAGGCAGCATGGATGACGATGTCAAAGGCAGCCACGATCGGATAGGAAAAATTAAGACAGGTATTGATTACTCTGAAATCAGTGTGGAGATCGACAGTATTTAGCACAAGGAATAAGGTCAAAATGTCCAGTTGGTCATTGTTTATATATGGTTCAGAGTTTTGCTGAGTGCATTACGAAAAGCACTTCCAACAACTTACTGTGGACTTCCATCAACATCTGCCTTCACTGGATACTGAAGATGAAATGGACATCCTGCCAGTCGAAAGAAATAAGCAGAAAGGGTGTCTGGTAGTCAACGACCTACTATTCAACAGATACGCATAAGGAAATGGAATTGGCTTGCACACACGCTGACGAGACCGCTGAGTGATATAAGGCGCCTGGTAGGCCTCGAGTTAAACCCGAATGGGAAGCAAAGAGTTGAGTGTCTGAGGGTGACATGAAGACCATCTGAAGAGAAAATAAAAACCTGCAGACAGTCGTGAAGCCTATTGAAAGTGATAGCAGAGAATCAAGTGCAATGGAGGTGTATTGCTAAAACCCTATGTTCAACTAAGAAATCAAAGAATTAATTAATAATATAATAACTTGACTTAAAATAAGCTAGTTTATTGACTGGAATTAAAGTCAACATGGTGAATAATGAAACTTATTTGCCAGGCAGGCGTTCAATATCTACAAGGTAGCAATACATTCACAGATTATATCTGAATAGTTGCATACTATCGCTACACACAGAATTTATATGAATACGGAAAATGGTTATCGAACAATATGCATTAAGTTATATGGCCAACTGAAGCCACCCACCCACAAAATATTTCCACCTCGGACTTCATGAAAATCGAAAGACAATACGGGCGACTAACTTTTTATTCAAGAGAAAACAAACACTGATTATTGTGGGCTAATATCTTCTTTGCTTCTATTTCTTACCCCACAATTAATACTATCTAATTATAAGGTGTAGTACATGAAACTTAGATATTCATGCCTTTTTTAACTGTTACACGTACACAATGTCTCAGTTAAGGAATAAAAAAAAATACAAAATATAAACAAACGGATAATGTAAATAGAAACTTCAAAAACCTGTTATCATGGTGTGAAAAATCACTACCTCCATTCCTTGCAATCAAAGTTTAATGATAAACATTAATCTAGTGAACATTCAGAATTCAATACTCAAATAAAACGTATGTTGCGGAATGATTGGTATGAAAATCACTAAATGAACGATCTATTTATAACACTGATATTTATTTGAATATTCCAACTAATTTCATAATTACCCTTTTCTCCTGACCAATGTATCATCGTCCCATCATTTCCATATTTTCTTCTGACTTAAACTTTATTATGTCTAACGAGCAGATCAAGAAAGATATTTGTACGGGTGACCACTTACAAAAGGACTTTGAATATATTCATGATTCCTTGACGGAGATGGGCTGTCCGATTAGTTTCATAAAGAAGCATATTAAAACATCAGACAGAAAACGTGAAACTATGACTGCACGTAAATAACCTCTATTTATTAAGTTACAATTTAATGGTGACTTGTCAAGTGAGATTTTATTCCAGAGACTTTCCAGGAGTATACGAAGAACGTTTCACACAGCAAACCTATGTTTGCCATTCTCTAGCCGACGAATGATTGGGACGCAAACGAAGGATAAGCTAGATAGTTTTGCCACATCTATGTGCATTTATCAATTCAACTGCACCTAAGGTGACAGTTATGTTGAGCGTACTACTAGACAGCTTAATCAACGTGTTACTGAACATCTCCCACCGTGGTTTCGCAAAGGAGAACAAAAACAATCCGCAGCTGAATTTTGTCACATTTAGTTGATAGTGGTCATGTGGAGAAGACGAAGGCATTCGAGGCAATTTATCGCATCCCACCTAATCTTCCCAATAGACTTCGTATTCGTCTAATGCACACAGTTGAGGCGATAGGCATTCAAACTATTAAGCCTGAACTATGCATTCAAACGAAGTTCGTACAGCCATTATCCCTCCCTTCGCCTATTAAGACCTAACCTACTGATGACTTCTCCGTCCCCCCTTACATTTATTTTCAACCCCTCTCTTATCATCCCTTAATCTTATCATATTTTCACTAAAGCGTATTTTTATTTGCTTCCTTTATAATCTAGCATTACTTAATCGGTTCATGGTTTTCTTAGCCTTTATCATATTCCACCTGAACATTTGTTTATTTAACCATGATGTTTTCGTTATTCTTGTTATCACAGATCGCCTCACTTTTTCATCCTTGTTATTGGTAGAATCAATTTTATTATCACTATTGTTATTACTATTATTATTATTATTATGACTAATTGCACAATTTATATGCACAATCTTATTATCCTACTGACAAAATGCCGTGATTGGTTTATATTTGGATTTTTATTTATAAAGTTATGTATATTACAGTTAAGCCTGATGAGATCTAATTGAAAACAATATTGTTCGCTTAAATTTGTTGTTTTATTATTTGTCTTCACTTCCGTGTCATTTTTATCAAACCTGAAATCCCTGCGAGAATTAAACTATCTGAATCAATTTGTTTTTGATTCAGTTCTAATTTTCTCGTTGATTGATTGGACCAAAATATTCGGCGCCTGTTGACATGTCGGCTCCTAGTACGGACGCTTCGATGATGTGTGAGGATTAACATGAAGTAATTTGGTGGATGGTAACTAGCATAGGGATTCAGAATGCGCACTTCGCCTAATGTGGGACTCGTCATCTGGATGCACCTGCATTCATAGTGAGTGTTGTCGTTCACACTGTCGACAAGGACAGAATATTTCGGTACGACATAATCAACTGAGGGGAAATGCAAGTTAATCTAAAAAATAAAAACTGATACTCTTTGTGTAAGAGGCTGATCTCGTGGATAACGCTTTAGCGTTTGAAACGATGGGTACTGTATTCGAGTCTCAGTGGTAACACCATCACTCACTGGGGATGTAGGTATATCCGGCTGACGATTCCCAAGCAAGATGAGACACTCATCCTGGGTTCCACTGCTAGTCACCATCCAGTCAGTGTTTTCACATCCTCGAAGAGGAATAACTCAACTGACTGATTCTGGTCACTCTACCATTTTGTAACATCACGGTAGGAATTTCAGAACCACCTGTTAGGAAGATAATAGTGAATTGATGCTTGTGAGATATCTGGGTTTTTTGTAAATTTAACGAATAAAATAATTCAAATATTAGAACATAACTGCTAATTATATTGATGAGCTAATATAATATTAGGATGTACATCAAATATTCACTTTTTATTTGATGTAGAGGTATGTAGATAAGAGGATGAAGCAACCGTAAGATTCTCACGTGGTGTCTCAATCGATAATCATTTACCTTATTGTCTATCTATTATTGAATATCTCACACTAAACTACCAATCAGCTTAGGCCTTATGATCAGTATATGGATAGTATTTTTACCATTATTGATGGGATGTTAAGTTAAATGAAACATTGAAAACCTTTAGTGACACTCATAACAATCAATTGATTTTATGCTTTAAGTTGAGCCAGAATGTAAGATTTTATGCCTAGATTGTTGATGTTTGACCAAATTTTCAGTTTCTCTATAGACAGAAGGATATTTTTTGATTATAGCTTGATTCCACACCGTATTTTTGGTACAAGGATGGAATTTTCAGCATGTGATATCGGTAGCCGAAATTTTGCACGCCGACCATAGATATCAGGTGTGCATCAGCAGGAAATCGAGCCCCGGACCATGTTCATGGTCGGGGAGAGTCCTGACCACTGTGCTACCGACGCACAGAAGAACATTACGTGCAGAAATGAGATTCCTCAGTAAATTTCTAATTCCCAGTTTAAATCTTATATATATATATATCAGCGATGAGGCTGCTACTTGGGACGCTGCTGGGAGGTTGGGAGAAAGCAGCATATGAAAGTGTGAGGCGAAATACCTACGAATGTGCGACAGGGTCAGGCAAACAGTTTCCAAAGTGGGAAGGACCACATATGGTCACGTTGAGATGGGGTTACGCAGACGCAATCGCAATGGTAAACACAGAGAAACAAGTGAACACCCGCAAGCATCGAGATTCCAGACAACAAGACAAAAGAGCAAAGAACCAAGAAGATCAAACCGACTTCAGTCCAAACTATTTGAGAGGGGGACGAGTGTGGTGAGGGCTGTCTACTAGCCAAATCGGTAGACAGTCATTGACGTCAATGTTTACGTTCTCAAGATTTGTCGTGAGAAAATATGAACAAAGACTGATTCGAAAACTGACCACAGCAGACTTTGCGTAGGCAGATACAGTTAACATATAGATGATCTGACATTCAAGAAACAGTCACAAAGAGATGAAAGATTAACTTTAAGTGAGAAACAACTAATCAGAAGACTATGTTTGTTTGCTTAACTAAACTATAATAATGTACATGAAAATATATAAATATGCTTTGATTTTCTTAATAAACGATCTGTTGCCTGGCCCTTGTCTTCTGTTGTTACAATATCACCAATAAGATTCTAGTCATTAGTTCTTAGTATCCCTAGAACCCCTACCAGTCAGTCAGTCTACACCTCCCTCTACATGGTTGGCCCAGCCAAACTGTCAAAGACTTTATGAGCTGATGCCAAGTTTGGGTTTGACCATACCTAACTCTTTTCCAACTAAATTTCGAAGAAATACACTCAAAGGTTAAATATATGAACAAGTTAAAGGAACACCCATGGAATTACCTATTTTAGGTTTAATTGCAGAAGCAGTGATGCAAAGACTTGAAAACATAATCCTACCAAAGATCAAACCCAAAATTTGGATACTTTACGTAGATGACATATTCGTAATAATCAAAAGAAACGAGTTGGACGAAACTCACAACTTACTAAACAGCGTTTTGAACGACATAAAATTCACAAAAAAAGAGGAATCCGAGGACAAAATCACATTCTTGGACGTCTTAGTCAAGCGAACAACCAACAACAAGCGAACAAATTAGGAACTCAAGTTTGTATAAAATCAACTCACACAGACCAAATACTCAATTGCAAAAGCAACAGCCAAATAACACATGAAAGGAGTTGTATATAAACACTATTCAAGAGGGTCAGGAGTCATTGTAGCACTCCCACCTTACGAAAAATTGAAGGAAGATATTTCATGGATGTCTTCCGAAAGAATGGATATTCACAGAACTTTATCAAAAGACATCTACCTCCAAGCCAACCTACCAAATCAAAGGCCCCCAAGGTAAGCAGGGAGAAAATCGCCCTACCATGTATCAAAGACATCTCAGAGATCACTACAAGACTCTTCAAAACTTTAGGAATTGATTTCGCACAGAAACCAACAAAATTACTTCACTCAACTCTATGTTAACCGAAAGACTCAACAAAGACAGAAGATAAAACCAACATCATCTACAAAATAAATTGTAACAACTGAGAAAAACACTACATTAGCCAAAGTGGACGTCCCCTTCCTCTTTGCATCCATGATAAACTAGCCGTCGCAAAACACGACATCAACTCCCTCATATCACTGCCTACAGACAACCACAGACATCGATTCGACTGCGACAACGTTGAAATATTAGACAGAGGAAACACCAAGAATGCTAGGGAATTTTTACAAGCCTGGTATTCCAGTGAATCGCCAATCAATAAACACATTGACATAGACAAATCTACCAATCGATAAGAAGGAAATCTCACACACAAAGAGTCAAACTTCAAGTCAAGGAAACAATCAGTTCCAATACAAGTAGCCTAGAGGGTGTGAAAACACAAAAACAACCGATCGCGTCCAAAGTCACCAGGAGAGATTACTGATAAATTCGTGGAGAAATCTAAAAGCTCGCTTCCATGTGAAGTATGCGCTGAAGATGTAGCCTAGTAGGATAATGAAAGCTTCGCAAATAAACTATCCAGCTAAGAAAACACAACCACATCAAAAACATTTTGTTGTATAGTACCTCGAAAAGCAAAAACAGAGAGTGATCAAAAATAGGGAATAGACTTATAAAGGTAATTAAGTATTTCACATCCCCAGAAAGATAAAAAATCAAATATGAACAGATAAGGAAAAAAAGAAAAAGAAGGCTTACATGTTTATAAGTACTGAACTCATGTGTCCATATAGGCTTACTAAGTTCACCACAATAATCACAAAGTAAAGCTCGTCTTCTACACACTTGACATTGATATACATGTGCTAAGGCAATATTTTCAATTGCATTTTTTAACAGCTCTTTTAATTTTGAAGAATGCGCAAGCATTAAATCCTAAAATATATTAAACACATAAAATGTCATATGAATTACCACACATAAAACTAGTAAAAAGTGCACGAAATAATAATTAATCAATTACAGTAAATGTACTAATATTTTGTAAACACAGCAGGTAATAGAAATAAATTTAGGACATACATTACAGAAATTAGGAATAGTTATGCAACCATATTGAATATAATGATTTTTTTCTCAGCTGTCTATTAATGCAGGTATTATTTGTAATTGTTATGTTTTTTCTGTGATTATTAACATATGCAAGGCAACTGTTTATAGACTGAATTGTGTTTCTTCTATCTAACAAAAGTATTACAGCTACGGTTAAAGATGTGTCTCTGAACACTTTATAAGTCAGTCTTTTATTCCTTATAGATTTATACAGAATAAACAACCAAAAGTTCTAATTGGAAATTTCTAGTTTATCAAACATAAGTGATTACTAACAGCTTCTTCTATTTAAGTGGATAGAATCTTATGCATACACAAGTGTCTCTATGCGAACAAACTTAGTGTTATGGCTTCACTTAATGTAACACTTTCAGTAAAAATCATTTAAACAAACACTCTATTAAATTAAAATGGCGAATTACTAAGTTGCTTCAAAGTTGAAACTTAACAGAATATACACTGAAGTATATATGTGTGCAAATAACTAAAAACATTTTAGAGCATATTAGACATCTAATTAGCACAAATTACATGTAACAGTCAGTTTTTCTTTAAAGATGCATAGAAATGCAATGGATTTATAAACATAAATGACTCTTAACTTTGCACATCACTGAATCAATTCTTACTGAGTTTTTTTTACACAATTATCCATACACTACAAATCGCCACACATAGTCAAGCAGGCGAGTTAATTTACCACAGCTGACCGATTGGTCACTCGGTCGATTGGTTGACTTGCTGTCTGCAGACACCGGATAAAGTAACGTGAAACGAATTCCCGCATGTCCTGATGAATGCATTCTGTCTGTGCATCTTCGCCTTTAGCAATGCCCATGTAAACTGAGTGACGGAGAGAGGCGGAGACCCATGTCTTTTGTAGGCCGACATCATCCAACTGAGTGACGCACTGTGATTGCCTCACTGAGTAAAATGATTCATTAGTATAGTAGATGATGGAAGGCGGTTAGAGCTGTGATGTTGTGAGATAAGTGGATCAGCTGGATCCTCCCCGTAGGACAAAAATTGCTGATGAATGGTCAAATTGTGGTTAGAATGGGCACGATTTCGGCAAAATGGTAGGAATGGTAATATAATGGGCGAATGCTGATTAAATAATAGTTAAAATGGTGAAATATTGATCACTTAATGGTGAGAATAGGAAGAATTACGTCACAACCGAAATTCAACCACTTTTTCCTACTATTGGCCACGCCCATTATTTGCCGATTATTCACCTATTTTTAGCATTTTTGTAAGATTGGACCATTTGCTTGTTGCCATGTCAAACGTGAGATGAGTGGAATCAGAGTAGCAATGTATGTGGTTTGATTTTTTCTCGGGGGAGTTAAGGTGAGACGAGAGGAATTGAAGGCGAACAAGTGTATGTTGAGAGTTCAGAATGGAGGTAACAGGACGGTAGACGACTAGGAAAGACTCTTAACAATCTCGTCTTTGCCCGGTTTCGAGAGAAGTGTTTCCAGTCGGCGTTGTTACACCTGTAAGTAGTGAATGAATTGAGACAGTGCTAACAACCGACAGATGTCGATTGACCGGCAGTATGTCGCTCGCTCGCTCCTCGTTCATAATCAACTTATAGATTGAATGTTCTACACAATAAAGCACGAGATAATATTTCTAAACGTATAATCATTCCATTGTATTAACTCCATTCTTCAGTTTACTTACTATGGGAAAGATGTACACAACTATGGTATACTCTTAGAGTTAACTAATCAGAACTATTCTTTACATCGTAATTAAATACAACTCGATAAAAATATTTAATGAACAAGGAGGGTTTTTAGTAGATTTACAATAAAAAAAAGCTTACTATTACTGAATACACATCAATATCACTGATATTACGAAGCATATACATTCGAGAATGGAAACAATCTCGTAATTTCCTAGCTGTTTTACCATCACATTGAACTATTTGATGCCACAGCAGTACTAGAGTACGTCGAAGTTGTCTAATTTGAAATAAATCCGGTATAGCAGCATACAGAATAGGATTTAATTTAGCCAAATTTATTACAGGCCTATTATGTAGTGCACTTAAGAATTGATGAGTAATCTGAGAAACTGTAATATGAAAATAGAAAATGTAGTAGATTGAAATACTCAAAACAATAACGTAAAGTATATAAGTCATAAGTAACTGAAGTGAACTGGATTTTCAATGTAGAACTTTGTATAAGTCATAAGTTATCACACCATTTACTGCTGGTAACTTGAGTGAGTAGTTAAAAATCAAACCAGATCACTGAGTTTGAATGGGACCGGTGTCATAAGTGGTGTACTCGGTTTCATTTCGCCCAGGAAGAATTACATAAAACACCTGAATTCCTGCTGGCTAATTATAACACGTTAAAGTTGACAACAAAACTTTCTATAATTCCTGAAACAGTAACAAGGATTTATGAATCAGGATGTGATTGCAGACCATTAAAAATATTTCAACCACACTACTACGTAGTGCAGTCACAAAGAAATAGACCTTATGCGTAAAAGATATATCAGCAAAAACTCAAAGTTGGCAAATTCAAACAATGTCTAAATAAGTTGCTCGCCATGATAAAATGTATATATATTCAGGTAGACAATATGAGCTACTTATATCAAAATCAATATCGATATCTTATGATAGAAAACCTACTTATGGTAACTTTCAAGGATTCTTTCTGAATTTTAGTACTTGATGCAGTGGTTGGCACTTGAAAATGCATTCCTTGTCTTACGTGTATCACTACTGAATAAGACATTCATTATATTAGAATCGTTCTTTAATTTCGTATGGGTTCGTTTAACAGAATGAGAACTATGTTTAATAGTACCACTCAACTACTCAAAACAATTCATGAAGTGACCTCATAATAGCATTCAGTGTAATATAACCCATTAAATAAGACCACCAACTTATCATTATTAGTTTTTTATATGCCGTTTTTGACTAAAACGATAAGCATAAAATTCTCTAAATATCCATTGCTTTATATACACATCCTAGAAGCGCTTAATATTACTGTACTGCAAACACGACGGAACCAGTCAGGCTTAAGACCAGGAAGAGGGTGTGGCGACCATATCTTCACCCTTCAACAGATTTTGGAACATAGACATACTTACGGGAGTACAACAATCGCCATATTTCTTGACCTGAAAGCGGCATTCGATTACATCGACCGACAGGTACTACGGCGATGTTTGGCTATGAAGGGAATGACGAGAAAATGCATCGCACTGATCAAGACACTCTACTCGAACTCATGCAGCCAGATGAGAGTCTACGGAGAATTGTCATCTGAAGTGGTGACAACCAGCGGTGTCCATCACGGATGCCCACTGTCTACATTTCTCTTTAATTTCATCATAGAAGTATGTGGTAATGGACTTAACCCTAACTGACTTCAGCCACTCACGGATTGACTTGTTGCTTGACCAGGGAATAATCTCGATGACTTAAAATATGCAGATGATATAGTCCTCCCATCGGGGTGAAGACACTGACAAAATAGAGTAGTCTTCTGAACACCTTGAGCAGCAATCTTCGAATGTTTGGCATGCGATTCGCTCCTACTATCAAATGTAAGACGATGAGGTCACAGGACTGGATTGGACTACATCTACCCACTCCTAGCTTAAAGATAGGCAGGAGTGAAGTGGTAGAGCGTGTTGACTAATTCACTTATTTGAGAAGTTCCATCAGCCATCCCCAGAGGATCGATCACTGACGAAATCTCATCACGGATACAGAAGGCTCGTTTGGCATATGTCTGCCAACTTACGTCATCTCTGGCTTAGTAGACTTGATATCCGGTTGGCTGTCAATCAAAGGGCGTGTGTACTGCTCAGCCACAGTTTTCTCTGTCCTCCTTTATGGCTGTGAGTGAGACATGTCCACTGAAAGTGGAAGACATGAAAAAGCTGGCTAGCTATCTTTGATGATAGGTGCCCGCGTTCTATCTCCCGTGTGATGTGGTGGTAATAACAGGGTGAACAATATTGAGGTTAGGCTTTGGTCGAGTGCTAGATAAGGAGGGGAAATCAATCGACGAGGTTGTGAAGGTACACCGACTGAGATGGTTAGGATATGTGTTATGCATGCCCAGCCTAGCCATCGCCCTCCTCAATGGGCAATGTTAGCTGACATAGGATGGAAGGTTGGAAAAGAGTTGGCTAGTGGTGGTCTCATCATAACATGATCAGTCCATGAAATCCACAACACTTAGTTTGGGGTAGGCAGTCAGCCACGTTGGGAGGTGTAGACTTCTTGACTGGTTGAAGTCCTCGAGATGGAAAGAACCGATGACAGCTGGAGACAATTGGTGATATGGCTCAAAATCGTTCTCAATGATGGCGCAGATGCATTCAGTCTTTGTGATTTAGATCCAATAAAATTCTACCGTTCTTCCATATTACTATTTTTTGCCACGCACGTCTGTTTATTATCTGTCTTTTGCATCTCTCTTCCCTTGTTTTGTGTGGTACATGGAATGTGGCAATTCGAACTGCTGCATATATGTGCAAAGTTCTACGTTGAAACCAGTCAGTCAGTATAACAAACTTTCTGGCCGCATAAAGTGAAAACGCTTAAGTTCAATTAGACTTTACTAATTAGCAGATAGTCTTAATTCCAGTTAATCAGTGTACTTAAGGGGAGATATAATTATGTGTAGTGTAATTAACATAACTACTTTTGGAAAGTAACGAAAAGGGATTTATTAAATTCGTCTTTGTCCTTCGGTATTTCACTATCTCTTACAAATCACATATATTTATATATATTAACAAGTCTTTGATTTACTGTTAACACTCAGACGATAGGTTTCAGTCCCGCTCCGCTTTACTTCACACTGTTTAAACTAAGATCTTAATTTCACTAACCCATATCTATTCATTGAGCTCTATTATTACGATTGTTATTACTATTAACACTATTATACATCATAAGCATTTAAGTATAAACACTCTATTGAGAATAACAAAATAACAAGATAGGAGTAAATACCTGGTTTTGGTGAAAAATCCCAGTTTGTTATAATATCACGTGGAATAACTGCTTCTTGTAGTTGATGACAATTCACACAATAAAAGCATGCATCATAATAATCTAGGAAAGCGTGATCTAAATTTTATTGAGCAAAGAAAAGATTTAAAAATATATAAAAGATCAGTCAGTATACAAATTCATTCATTAACAAAAATGAAATCGGACTTATTTTAAATTCATGCCTTATTTAGCATTAACCACTGAAATGAAGAAACTATTAGGCTATACTGAAAAGAGGTGGTAATTATCATATGACAATTTTGCCCCCATAAACGACCTGATATGGATGAGGGTGGGTCCTCCTCTCGAAATGCCCTAACGTGGCCATGCGTTTATAGCTTCTGACAGGTAAGTTCTATTCACTGCCTCCACGCGGCAGACGTGTTTCTCACAAAAGTGAAAGGGCTAATTCGAACACTTGGCGCTTACATTAAACACATTTAATATCCCTTTCCCTTGAGTTAACAATAATTCTACTACTGACATACATTCTGAAGGAAATTGTCTTCTATTAGGTGATATTTAACTTAAGGATATAATTGGCACATTAGTACGGAAATAAAATTTTAACTGAATAAATAATCAGGTTAATCCAGAAGAAAACATAATAAAACGGTACATCTCTTTTTCCACATTCTTCTGTCAAAATATTCTGTTTCAAATCAGTGAATGCTTTAAAAAAATACATACTTGGTTTAAGACGAACTGAACACCGTTTACAACGCCCAAAGAATACACTGTTCTCTCCATTCTCATATTCAAATTTACATGCTCCAGGGAATAACTCAGCTAATCTTTCAACATCCTAAATTTTTAAATTGGCAAAACAACAAAAAAAGAAAAGCTAAAAACACCTATTTCTTGAATGATAATTACATTTAACGATAAAAATAGGTTAGAAGGTAAATAAGATAAGCAACTAACATTTACAAAGAAAGAGATACGGTTGTTAATTCATTATTCTTATTACTATACTGCAACTCGTAGTTTGATATATATAACAATCTAACTATGGAAATGACTAAAATGCAAATTTGGAATCAAATAATTTGTCTAGTCTGTTAAGCGACACGTTGGATTAACATCAGGATAGTTAGACATAACAATAGTTAACACTAATGCACCTCTCTATATACAACATTTGAAATATCAACGCTATCAATAAGTTAAACATATCTAACTACAGTTATAAGTCAAATTCACCACACACACACACACACACAACTATTCAGTAATACAACAGCTGCAAATATTGTACACACGAGTAATTCACACAGTTTTTATAATAAGATGACAATATCAACAAAAACAGACACTGAGAGCCTAAAATATCTTTAATAGATATTTTGCCTTCATTTATATATGTATATATATACTTTATAATATATTGTTGGTCATCATTATTAATATTGTTATTATTATTATTGTTGTTATTATTAGCTCACTTGCTCTTCCTTAAACTATGTTAAACAGATTGAAGAACAAACAAATAGCACAATATTTAAAAACAGGAAAATGAATTAGAGAGAAAATTCACCAGAAAAAATCATGTAAACACAGCTATATACACTGAATATCTGATGTACTCGGTTTAATTCAACGAGGAGAACAACTGAAGTGATAAAAATAACACTGGCAGGTGACATTAAACAAAGTTATTGCACAACGAAAGTTTATTGGCGGCTATGATTACCACATGCATAAAGGAGAGGTAAGGGACACAAGTGACTGAATGTCATTGCAATTAAGATGATTTATTATGGGAATTAAATATCGACTGAACAATTCATAAAAAATGGAATAATAGGAAACAAATCCATCCCACTCTAACAATGTTTAAAGATAAGTTTTCAAGAATTAGTTTGTAGGGATTGTATTTGCTTCAGTTTAGACCACGGAATGATAACGGTTAGAGAAACATTGGAAACTAGGGAGTACTGGACAGCTGTTTCATCCTAGTTTGGGATTCGTCGGCAGTACGCACCCACTGGGTTTCGAACCCAGGACCTTCCGGTTACAAGACAAGCTCGTATATCATTCAGTTACTGGGACTCGATCCAATAGCCCATGAATTCTAACTTCTACCAATTCGTGATTTTAGCGCGACCACCAACCGATATTATTGGCGGGAGCTCCATACTCACTCTCGACTAGATGAACCTCACTGGTCACGACTTCTCACACGAATTCCAGGCAATCTCGTCCTGTAGCCAGTCAGTAGCCACAATAGATGGTTCCCCAAATGATATCAATCCGAGGTCTAACCTTAAAGATAAGTGTCCGAAAATCTCCCTTGAATCAGTTTCAGATTCTTTAATATACATCACAAACACTTTCACTTTTGACCACTAGAAGTAAATTCAAACAAAAGTCATTTTAAAACTTAGTTAACCTGACCACATATACATCAACAAAGATAAGACGTCAAGTTATTATTTGACTTCTTGGATAAGTTGATGAGACGAACTGTTTCCAACAATTTTTTTCAGTTTACATATTGATGAAATTGACTATGCCTTACAGATTAATCAAAACACGTAGAAAATTTCACTGTGATAACCTAGACAATTTTAAGATGTGAAATATCAGTTCAACGACTCCTGAGTAAAAGGTTGAACACCAATCAATTTAGTCGGTTACATCACCCTCTAGTAGCGTATTAGTTAAAATTATTGTTTGAAAATTAACGATATGATTTACCTAATGTAAAAACCGGATAGGTAATGGAAAGGTTCGAACTTATGCATTAGTGATGTGATAAGTGAGTGCTGGAAAAAGAAGGACACTTAGTTTTTTCCATCAGTTTATTAAACACAACAGAACTTAGATCTAATGAGATAAAAGTGCTGGAGAGAGGATTCAACTTCATCGTGGCAGTTAGTAGATTGAAATCACAGGAAATCGTTTCTAGCACAGAGGTAACACTAGGTTCAGTCGATAAGAGAACAGCAAAAAAGATTCGAGCTTAATGTGTATTAGAAATGAAGCAACAAAAGAAAGCACAGACAAACTTAACGAAATCGGAAGGATTAGCTCTGATGAATCTCGAAAACGACAAAAACATAGTCACTGAGAAGACTAAGACAAAGTTACCGATAAAACTGTTTCCTTAATACACTTGAAGGACCAATAAATTAATTATAATCAGGAAACAGCAGACAAATGCCATAAAAGCAATAGCTTTTAATCTTGCAAGTGAGCACAAGTCTACATGTAAGTACGCACTTAGCAAATGAGTAACTCATTTTCACACTGACTGTAATACCTTGTGGTGAGAGCTGTCTACTAGCCAAATTGGTAGACAGTAATTTACGTCAATATTTACGTTCCCAAGATTTGTCGTGAGAAAATGTGGACAAAGATTGATTCAAAACCGACCACAGCAGACTTTGCGTAGGCGCATGCAGTTAACATATTGAGGATTTGACATTTAAGAAACAGTCACAAATAGATGGAAGATTAACTTTACGTGAGAAACAACCAATCGGAAGACTGTGTTTGTTTGCTTAAATAGCCATAGTGATGTACATGAAAATATATAAATATGCGTTGATTTCCTTAATAAATGATCTGTTTCCTGACTCTTGCCTTCTGTCGTTACAACCTCTCACAAAGATTTAGCATATTATACATCTTCTTTCTTAATACTCAGTATACATTTCCGGTCTTGAGGTATTAATATGGCTCGTGATGCACTGATAAGTTCAATGACACAAAGTATCACTATACAACAACTGACGGTAAAATATTGGTTGACATTCGGAGAAATAGGTACCAGTATAACTCGTTGGAGCATGAAGATCAGTAGGGATTTCAATAGTACATAGATGAATATTACAACCTCATCAACAGAAGTGATTTGTCTGATTTTGCACAGGCTTTTCAGTCAGTGAAAAAAATGAAAACTAAGGTCTCCTTCCAGCTGCTTTCATGTATGGCTATACAAAAAGTGTCCAGACACGTTTAAGACCACACGGACTTCGAATGGCTAAACATATATCTAACACATTTACACACTAGCAGCTAAACAAATACTCTACGAAATGTACACGGTAGTAAATAGCATATGAATACACTAAACGAAGCCTAATTATACAAGCCAAAACAAAACGAAACAGCAAAACTACTAACATTTATGCATAAATTTTATTCTACTAGTAATAGTCATAAAACTCTCTGAATTATCACTTTTATTATTTAGATAATCAATGTTCACAAAACTACATGTACCATATGCCTTCACATAAAACAATGAATAACTATTTTTTATATATTTCATTCAACGGAATGTTCCCTAACCATTAAACTACTTAATTTACGGCTATATTTATTTCATAATCGTGTTTTAGTGGAACAGGAAATACTAGGTGTGCTATAACTGTAACCTCGCCTAATTTACTAGTCTGTCCTACGCCCGGAGAAAGTCGGGCGTGGGGCTAGCGACTCTAGTTGCGAAAATGAATCCAATCGCTACCGACGCTTCAAAGCACAGTTATAATTGTGGCAACTGAGATCCCAAGATATTATTGCAATCATAGAATGCAGACGGTAATTAGACAACAAAACACACTGGCATTTGAAATCCCGAGTAGAATGATAAAAGTAGCTTAAAATTTAACTGTATTTAAAATAGACCTTTACCTAGTGATTATTATTATTACTAAAGCGTTGTGGTATATTATGGTTACCAAAAGAAGCACCACACGGTATCACACAGTTTATGAAAAGGCTGAAGTACTGCCCGGACGTCTAGACCGAGACAGGCGGTTGTCTTATGGAAGCCACCCTCCAACTCCCCTGAGACTTTGACTTTAAGTCTGATCCACAAGGCAATGTAGCAGTGTCTCTATGGTTTCCAGCGGCCAAAACAGGTTCATACACCATTTGATCCCCCCTTAGGAATCTGGAGCCCATTTAGGTCATAGGTTTGGATTCAAGATTTTCCAGCTCCCCTAGGTAGACCAGTATGTCCAACGATCTGGACGTAAACGCCAGACGTTCGAATTCACCCTTTCAATTAGTGAGGCAGTGAATAGGACTTAACCGGCAGAGGTTACGAACGCGTAGCCATGTGAGAGTGTTTTAAGAAGCAGACCCAAGTCTATCCAACCCCGGTTGTGCTATTATCTAGTGAAATACTTTTGCGTTAATATGCTTCTGCTTTCAACGCCGATAATAAAACAAAAGCAAGCTGTGGACTACACTAGAAGGAAGAATATTGATGCACTGTTTTATACCAACAAAAAATAAAAATAAAAAAAATAAAAAATAAAAAATAAATAAATACCAACGATATAAACGTCAGCTGCATGTTGTAACGATTCGAAATGTAGGATAGTACTCAATCATCGTATTGCTCTTAGGAAATTATTGTTGGTATTAAATGGTTGGAAGCAGTCGGCAGGAAGCCTTGAACCTAGGTTTCGTGCTAGTTGGCAATCAGCAAGACATATCTGCAACCTCGAAGGAACGCGTGTCCCTTCTGGGAATCGAACCCGCGTCACCCAGTGCTGCAGTCAGAGACTTTGCCACTGAGCTATTCAGGCTCGCGATTGACCTCCTATAGGACTGTATCGGATATTTTTGATTGAACGCTAGTCAGTAACTAGAGTAATGTGTGTGTGTCTAGTCCTATCTTTGGTGCAGACTGAACTCTATTAGTCAAGTTTGCAATGTGGCCACCATGCTAGGTGGCTCGTCATTACGGTACACTGTAAATTGTTGGTATTAGATGGTTGGAGGCAATCAGCAGGAAGCTTCAGACAGCCAATGACTGTCAAGTGATCTTCCTAGTGGGAAAATAAGTCATTCTGAAAAGCCAATTAGGGGCTCTTAACACCTCCACTTTTGAATAACAAAGTCTTGATTTATGAACCCATCAAAAAAAGAACAATTTTGATTTCCCTGTCTTCTTCAAGCAAGTAATTTTTCAATGATAAATGTATGTACAAAGTACTCGAACTAAATAAATTAGCAGGAAAAGAAGTTAATGTTCACAGATGGACTCCACTATTCTCACAAAAGCAACTCAATTTATTAATGAATAATTATTTACCTATCAGATAGATTGGAGACACACGTCTTTTTCCATACATCCCTTATGTGCAAATCAGTGTTGCAGTGAATTAACTGTTCAGTAGCTTTTCACTATTTTGTTAGTTGTTGTTACATTTTAATTCTACATGGCAAAGTGGAGTGGAAATTACCAGCCCAGTGAAGAATTATAACTTGATATCATCACCAAGTAAGAATCAATATTTCATCAATATCATCATCATTACCGGAAAGAATAAGCATCTCAAAAAGTTGTCTGAACTGTAGTTGTAATGTATATATATTGTATAGCTTTACAGCCTCCCACATATAAATACTGGGGACTTTGAAATTAGAATATGCAAGGTTTTATAGGACTAAATGAATCCATAAATAGCTAAATGTGGAAAGCCTTTCAATTGCAGGACTGTTATCTGTAATTTGGACATCCAAGACAATAGACAGTGACTATACCGTTCTGGTTAACAAGTTACCAAGCAACTACGCTATGGTTACAGACTAAGGCACATGCAGCGACTAAAAGTGACCGTTTTCAATATATTTAGTTCCATTTATGCCGTGGCAAATACTATACTTGGCTAATTTGGATACTCTGAGAGCAGAACTGATGAATAAACTATTGCAGTAGACCTTCCTTTGAAAACATCCGTTTATGCTCATGAACTAAGAATGAGACAGGTTTATAGTGAGCAGTGCTTCCTGTTTTGTTTTCTTATATTCTTCCTATTACGCTTGAGTCACTGAACCATATATTTTCTCCCGTATGACCTTCCATAGGTCGTTTGACCTACTTAGTACGCAGCAACACTTAAGTATTCGAAACCAACAGAACTTTCTTAGTCATTGAATAATCAAAAATAATGCTGTAGAAAATTACAAGTCTCATCAACGGCTGTTTAAGCAACAAAAAGACGGAATTATGGAACACACAAGCAAAAACACTCTTACCCATTAATCACCATTTGTTACTTCTAATCTTAGAATATGCTAAAAGTGTCAAACATGTAAATTCAGTGAATAAAGTGATCTAGTTCAACTCCTCATGTTATAAGTACCCAAGCCGTAGATGTTGCAAACGGCCTGGAATAATTTGAGCTCCCAGTCAGATGGAATCAATAAATAATTAGTTAAAATAATTCTAGTATGTTTAGAAAATCAAAAAAGGATTTTTCTAAACGTTTTGCTGTAGGCCACAGCTTCTTCAGCAGAACTACGTGGGTTTCATTCAACATCGAAATATGTAGTCAAATAGTACATAAAGTGAAGTGAAATTGTCTAAAGGTCACTCGTCGGTAAATAATTATAGCGTCTAAATAAATGTGATTAGTCATCACATATTTGTATTAATATTGTCAACTTGTCATTGTTAAATGATTACAATACATGTATGTCTGTATATGTGTATGTTGTTTATTGTATACAGAACATATTAATACATTAGTGATCACTATGGTGGTTGTTCATTGACTGAAAAATTAACGAACTGCCTTTATGTTTTACCTAATTTGAGTCTCTCCTCTTTATCGCATTCGATGTATTTTTCAATTGTTGGAATTTCGTCACGAACTAACATAGGTTAGAGAAATCATTACAGACCAGGAAGCACTGGACTCTTCAGCAACGTGTACTCACAACCCTGCCATGGATCGATCACAGGACCTTCAGGTTACGAGACGAAGCTGAATTACCATTCAGTCACTTGGGCTGGAATTCAATGAAGAGTCCGCAAATAGGACAAAACAGCTGTATTGTGCTTCTTGGTATTCAATAATCTCTCTAAATGATATTAGTTCGTGACGAAAATATAACAATTGAAATTAATCCAAAATCTCCACAAATCCTATAATCTCCATTAGATATGGTTAAATTATGTAGGACTTCAGGGGTCAGTCTTTGTTTATGCGAATGAAAACCTTCTTCTAGTGTGTTAACACTGTCAAAAAAAATCAGTCTAATGTCCGCTTTTTGTAGCGTGCACTACTATGGCTGATCTTTCTTCAACAATGAACTAATGCCCAAAACACAGATATTCATAACAGTAGCCAAACACATCCTACATTGAATCTGGTAAGTTTTGGCACAATACTAACTGCCTACTAGAATGAAAACCTTACAAAAATACTTTACCTCTTCCACAATCGTTAATAGTAGATCATCACCAACCACAGCCCAATTATCATCTTGTAAAGATGCGAGATTCTTAAAGAGAAATGGTAAAAAGTCAGAGAAAACTTCGATAGAAAACTGTCAGGCAAAACATACAGTAGTGTGAATAAAGTGTGGAATAAACTAAAATACCAGTAAAATCAAGGAAGAAATTATAAAACATGTTCAAAAATTTAAGGTAGTTATAACGGAAAGATATACATTCTTAAATTCAATGATAAAAGCGCACTGACTGCTCTATGAATATATGCTAGTAATTTAGTTGGAGTTGAAGAATTGTACGGCTGATCAAATGAATTTCGTCCACACTTTGAAATAACACATTAATCATCAAACAACCAGTATCTACACAGTAAATATCTCACTGCATTACCGCACAAATTCTGTTTTCTCTAACTTTGTGTGTTACATGGTGTATGGCGACTTGACCTGCTGCACTTCTGTGAGAAGTTCTATGTTGAAACTTAGTCAGTCAGTCAGTCAATCACCAGATAAATGCAACTGTTTAGATATGTAATTTCACTAACCTCACTTTTTGAAAGTCCAGTTATACTATCTGTATTGTCTTCTGGAAAAGACGGACTAGTCTGACATTCCGCTAATAAGAAAGAATCAAAGAAAGAAATTATACACAACTTTAAGAAATTGTATATTGATAAAGCTACTCATCATAAATCATGATACGTAGAACTAGTGAAAAAGCATTCAAAGCCAACATTTCGACACACTGAAGGGTCTGCATTACTCAATGAGATTAAAATTAACGTTTTCAAGTCTGCCAGTGTGTTTTCTTTAAATACACCACACCAAATGTCCAATCTTTGAGTTTTCTACACAATTCAAATCAAATTTACACGAGTTATCCTGATAACTGCTTTTAGTTGTCGCTGCTGTTGTATGATTTTCCCTCAATATTTTGATAATAACCATTCAGTGGTGTACTCAGAGACGAACAGTTCAGTGGTGACGTCTCAGACGGTAGTACTGGATGACATACGTTCGAATCCCAAAATAGACATATTTTTCCAGAGCTTGAAGACACGTTTTGCTGACGAGCCAACATCCCACAAATTATCTAGTGATTGGTGGAATCGAAGTACATTTGACTTCAACTGATAAAATAATTCACACTTGGAAATTTCCACTTACTTTCAGAAGACGTCACATTTATAAGGCGGTCCGCGCACTCACTAGTTTTCAGTGGTTCAATCCATGAAGAACCAGCAAGTCTTAACAGATTGTTAGATCCTGTTGGATATATTTGTTCCCGATTGGTTAACAGTGGATTTATAGTTAGGTCCCAAGGTCGCTCCATGGTTCACAGTGGTGTTTACGTTGCAACTGTGATAATTTACAAAGTCACTCTTATGAAGGATCTGCTGGATGCTGAAATGAAAAATTTGTCACAATAACTCAGTGGATTAGCATATCAAAAACACAATGTTTTTAAAAGAATTAAGTAAATTAGATTCCGAGGTAGTGTCACGCTGTGCAAGGAATGCCATGAAAGTGTATCGTTATAATATAGGTACTCTACTCGAACTAATGTACCCATGTAAGAGCTTATGCAGTGTTGACATCTGAAGTGGCGGGGACTAGTGACGTCCATCAGTGAGACTTAAAGCCATCATTTTGGTTTAATTTCACTGTAGACGTACTAGTGGAAGTGACCATAGCAGACTTCCACGTTTCAAAGATTGATATGTACCTAAAGAAAAGTCCCCTCGATCTAGAATACGCAGATAATATTGTATGCAAACTGACAAAACGCAGTAGTTTGATCTATCCTGTTATCCGACTAACAGACGGCCGCTAAAATTACAAGGTAAAACCAGATTAGCCGCTTGTGGAAATAAGTATCTTTATTCAATCTCTCATGTTAGGTGGTGCATTATGGTTGGTAATAACGAAGTTACACGTAGAGCGTACAGTATGACCCAGCACGATTTTGTAAGCCTACAATACTCACAATACGTAATTCAGAGAAAAGGCAATGATATAACAGGCGTGGTTTCGAAACAACGTAAGATTGTTGCAAAACAAAAAAGTGTACTTAAAACGTCTTTTGTGCTAACAATGTAAATACACAAAGCAACCTATTGAAATTTAAAGGAAAGAATCCGCATAACTTTATGCTGGAAACTTGCTAATACTTATTTTACTTTGAAACGATACTGCGACTTTAAATATAGTCTGTAAATAACGGTCAACTAGAATTATTTCGAATTTTACTATAGGACCTGATAATACAGGAAGAGAACTCATCATACGTCGAGACTCTCGGGGAAATGAATGAGAACAGAGAATTATTTGCAGACTTCTGCGCTGTCAATGATTTGGTGATTGCAGACAGCGTTTGCAAGCACAAGGATATACACAAAGTAACATGGGTTTTGCCTGATGGACACACCACAAACCAGATAGATTTCATCTCAATCTCAAAGAAGTGGAGACGCAGCAAGTCTGCTGGATACAAAACCGAGAAGGGAAGCAAATGTGGGCTCAGACCATCATCTAGTTCAAGCAACCTTCAAGATGAAGCTGAAATCCATGAAAACAAATGGAGACAAGCCACTGCAATTCAAGTTCAACAGTCAGAAACTGAAGGACAAAACTACAAGGGATGGCTTTGCTACAGATATCAGAGCACAGTCGGAGATTCTAAGTGGCATCACGGAGGAAACCTTTGTGGAAGAACATTGGAACTCTCTGAAGGTAACGTTCAGAGGAACGTGTACAAATGTTCTAGGGAGAAAGAAGAGGCAAGACAAGGAATGGCTATCAACGGACACCTACCTGGAAGCTAATCGAGGATAGGAGCATGATGAAAGAGAAGACTGCATGCAAAGACGGCATCCCTCCCGAAGCACTGAAGACAGCCCCAGAGATTATAGCAGATGTTTTTACACCATTGCTGCAAAACGTTTGGAAAGAAGGAATGGTGCCTACGGATTGGGAGAAGGGTTACCTTGTCAAACTGCCAAAGAAGGGCGACTTAGGCCTGTGCAAGAACTGGCGTGGAGTCATGCTGTTGTCCACCCCAAGTAAAATACTAAGCCGCATCATCCTGGAGAGAATAAAGGATGCACTGGATACAGAACTCCGCCAACCCGAAACAAGCTGGATTCATGGAAGACGAATAGTGTGCTGTTAAAATTGCAACTCAACGAATCGTCATCATCGAACAAAGCATAGAATGGCAGTCAAACGTCTCTCTGCCTCAACCTCGTCGACTTCGAAAAGGCCTTCGACAGACAGCATTGACCGAGAAGTAATTCAGAAACTACTTCAACATTACGGCGTACCTCAAGTCTCTATCAGCCTCATTCAACAGCTGACTATATGACAATGCCACGTGTCAGGTGATCCACAACAGGAAATTCAGTGAGGTGTTTGAAGTGAATACAGGAGTAAGACAGGGCTGTATATTGTCACCGATGATATTCTTAATTGTGGTGGTCTAGATTATGCGTCAGACTGTGCTTTGGGAGCGAGGAGAGAGGAGTACGCTGGACCACCGATAAGAAGACTCTGGATTTCGCAGATGATATATATCTAGTGCCACACAAACTTGAAATCTTACAGACCAAAACCAACACACTGGCTGAAGAGGCAGCGAAGATGAGACTCCAAGTGAACATAGAGAAGACGGAGGTGATGAAGATAACCAACGAACCACAACAACAATAACAACAACCAGGGCCAATCACCATCAACGGGAGAAATTTAACAGAGGTTACTTCCTTCACTTATCTAAGAAGCATCGTTTCAACTACAGGTAGTCGGAACGGATGAAGATGTCAAAGCCAGTCAGAATCGGAAAGGTAAGATACTCTTTAATCAACCTGAAACCAGTTTGGAAATCTACACTCAGCATAAGGAACAAGATTCGCATTTTCAACACAAATGTCAAGTCGGTTAGCTCTTCAATACGGGTTACAAACTTGGCGTGTTACGAAAAGGATTTCTAACAGCCTGTCGTAGACTTTCATCAACAGCTGCCTTCGCTGGCTCCATACTACAAACCAAATGGCCTACTAGAATCAATCAGCAACAAGAAACTCAGATAATGAACAAACCAACCAAGAGCCGATCGCTCAATATATATGTAGGAGAAATTGGAGATGGATTGGGTATACGTTAAGGACACTGTCAAATGAAATCGCGCTCCAGGCCCTAGAATGGAATCCCAATGGGAAGCAATGAGTGGATGGTCCGAGAGTGACACGGAGGAGATCGTGTGGGGAGATGAGAGATCGTAGGCAATCGTGGTCCTATCTGAAGAGGGCGGCGGAAGATAGGACAAAGTGGAAATGTGTTGGTGAAGCCCTATGTTCTACTCGGAACTCTAGAGAATGATAACAATAATAATTACAGGGTGAAAGTAGTTGCTATTTGCAAGTGGACTTATTATTCACATATCAGCTATAACTTAACGTTAGATCTCCACAAGTGACGAGAAAGAGGGGAATGATTAAAAAGTAAAAGGTGAGTGAATTCCATGTAAATTTCATCAACCAACATAGCGTACGTATAACTTCCTCTGATAATGTTGTAAACTTGCCAAGTATTTCTTTCACAATGAACGGCTGAGAAACAAATATGACTGTGTCTCTCCAAAATAAACTACGACTACCACTAAACTTTGTCAAACGGCAAAACTTAGTAGAAAGTCCAAAAAACCGGTCTCCTGGAAGAAACATGTAAATGAAAGCTAGCTAGCTTTCATATTGCTAGCAATATTCAGCTAATAGTCCCCTTCCCGCAATGAGACCAGTAGTGAATATAATACAACAAAACTACATCATGCGACCAACGCAAACCAATTTTAAAAATATAAATTAAGCCAACACTTCCATATCCTGGCTAGTTCACACTCTCGAGAACACTTTAGTCCCCAGCTAGCATTTTCGAGAGAATGCACCTGGGTAATGTGGGCAAAACCAGGGCTAAATAGGTGTTTTGATCGGCATAGACGTGGGTAAAAGCGGTTCAAAATGCTACATAATAAACCCACTTTATCCACTTCAGCTACTTTAACTTCGATCGCCCACGTCCCGAAAAATTTAATTGTCCCACTTTTTCCAACTTTACCCATGTTACAACCGAAAACAGCCCACCTTTTCCCACTTTGCCCAAATTTGAGGGGAAAGTGCCCAAGCTTTTACCCACATATCCCAGGTCCCGAAAAATTCACTATGGGCATTTTGTCAGTCAAAAAAGTTAAAATTTGGGGTCATGTTGTACTGAAGCCTAACAAATTCTAATTCAGAATCAAAATAAGACAATCTAAAACATTTGAAATTATACGAGAACGACCCACCTATGAACAACAGGATAAACTCGACTTTCATGACAATGAAACAGTTTGGAAATATACTGGGAGGAGAACTGCATAAAAGAATATATAATCATTGGCTATTAGTAGCGCACAGGCTAAAAAGAGCGGTCCAACATCCAATATCGTTTTTACGAGTTAGTGTAAGCCAATTTAATCTCTATGTGCTTGCTTCTAGGTTGTTAGGTAAAATTTCATGGTTTCCAGTAAATTTCTGTGTAGTTCATCCTGCCACCTGAATATCTTAACTTAGGATGACTCCAAAGGGAACGGTACTGGGATTGATTAAACGTAGTTTTTAGTATGCGGTGTGTTAAGACCGTGCTACTACTATGAATGGAGTTGATCCTTTCACCCATTTGTCTTCCGTGTGGTCGAATAGAGATAACAATAACAGATATAATTCTTGTGGATTATGTAGACTTGAAAAGGAAAGAAATGAAACGTAAAAACAGATAACTAATACAATTTGAAATTGATATATATATATGGTATGTGTATACATATGTGTCCATAATGACAGAGTAAGGGGCGTAACAGTTGAAGCAGTTAGGAGAGTAAGACAAGGGGGAATGTGAAAAAGAAAAATAACGAGTGTACGAGTATAGGCATTAATAGTGTATCAGTTTTACAGGGATAGGCCGTTCGGATACGAAATTTGTGTCGCTGCATGAACGTCCAGCCTCCGCCTCAAGATGTATATGAACGGTGCAGTAGCCACACCTGCCGGTAGAGAATTCTTGAGAAGAAATGAGAACGCACTCGAATCTTTTCTCCTTGATGAGCTATTCTTCATAGATTTCCATGAGGAAGCTACCTAATGGTAAAATGCCATTGTTTGGATGACCCTTGTAGGTAGCAGTTAAAAACCCATTAAGCCGACGATAGGTAAGTGTGGAAAGACCTAATATCCTCAGCCGTTCATCAGATGGCTTATTTCGGAAACCCATCAACTCCCTTTTGTCGCCCATATTTGGGGCCTTTCCAAACGGTCGGCGTCTCTTCTAAGCAACGTGGGAGCGATGATAATGTGAACTTCAAGGTGTGGTCTTACGTATATTTTTCGCACAAACTTAGAAAGAGCTCAGGAGTGAGCATACCTAACTGTCTATGTGTAAAGTCTTTGACTGCATAAGCTCCCGCCACATCGCCCGCGTAATTCACGCTTGTGCCCATTTTCCTCCGGTAGAACTAGACCCAAGTCGCAACCCGCGTTGTTCAGGACACGTTTTCGTTTTACAGAGTGTAACTGATATTCTGCTGCATGCAGTTGCGTAGCTGGATTCATTTGCACTTTTTCAGGTTGAAAGTCATACCACTGATGATCCCTCAGTCTTCAGAAAGTTTTAGGCCCGCCTGCAGCCCATCTGAGTCTTCCCAGCACTTCATTGCTCTAGAAGTCTCTAGGTGTTATGTTCCAATGACTGTAATTATATACAACCTAAAATCCGATGTCGTTTTCGGTGAAATTATGATTTGCCTTGGGGGTGAGCTTAATGTTTTTACCCATACATTGACTTATCTTTGAAAGAATTTCTAACCACCCTAAGTGGCTACATTTCCCTCTGTTCTTCATTCTCCTCTCTTTGATAAACAAACACTTACTAAGATGTAGTGGTATACGTTGTTTTTGTAAGGTGTATGACCGTTGGATGTAGTTCACTCTTGGTGGACTAGGCACCTACGTGCGACCCCTAACTTCACAAAAATAGCTTTTCACATATGGTACAACTCACCAAAGTAGGCTGAAATTATGCATTTAATATGATTTCATTTTGCAGTGTAAAATTGTATGTCCTAGCTTCACCGAAATGCCTTAACATGAAGGTTTTATCAAAGATTTATCTGGCAAAAGTTGCTTGCCATCTCTTGAGCTGTTGATACTGAGGGATTAACAGTCACATTATTTCAGAGAACTTTACTTTCAAAGAAGCCGTATTAGCCTGAGCATGGCTATATGTGACATTCCCTAATGGTATGCTTGTCTAGCCTCCGTAGGCTACTTTTCATATTGAAATAGTTTTCAGTAAAACTGAAAGAAATCATGTGAGAGTGCCTTTGTGAGACATAAATGAACATATCATAGATAAGATTTTATTTTGATAAATCACACAGTGTTATTCAGTAATATTAACTGATGATAATTAGAGCAAAAACTATTGCTTACAATCATTTCAAGTCACTCACACAACTTTTTGCTTCATTTATATACATGAGTGAAACTGATTAGACATTTGAATAAAAATCAATATAAGATGATGTACATTCATAAATAATGTTAGTGTTATCAATCAAATACAATCAGATGGGAAATAAGATGTTTTTATAGTCAAAATAAGTAACTTGTTAGAGTGTTATGATGTACGTGAATTGAAATAGAATTTTAAGATTATTTATTATCCTCCTATGATTTGACTAGTAATAATATCTTCCATATCTCTGGAATTTGCGTTGAATCATTTCTGTCGCATGTGTTGTGTGTAGACTTGATGAACCAGGATTCGGTGATCAATCTCTCTCTCCACCTACCTATATTACTTTTTAGAATTTCGACTCTGTCCCACCCTATCGTGTAATTGTGTTTAATGCATGCAGTGCTATAGCTGAGTTTTCTACTAAATTACTTATCTCCGTTGGATTATTAATTTTACCCTAAGCTAAATTTTTATGTTCTGATATTCTCACTAGTTCTGATCTACTATTTTGACCTGTGTAGTTGATTTAAATCACAGTCATTGCAAGGTATTTTGAAAATTATATTTTTTTGTTTAACCGGATTCGCATGCAGAGCTTGTCTCTGAGTGTTTTTGTTGGTTTGAATGCCATCCTAATTCCTGATCTGCTGAGAATCCTACTCAGAGTTTCAGATGTCCCTTCCATATATGGTAAGACTGTAGATACTTTATATTCCCTTTTATTTATTATTATTATTCTACTTTTGACTTTTTTTGATATTCCTAATGAATTTTATGGGATAGTTGTTTCTCACCAGCGCTTCTTCTATCCGTTTCATTTCATTATTTAGGTCTTTTCTTGTACTACTTAGTGCTACTGCTAGGTTTCTTAGACACTTAACTATGCCAGCCTTTACAAACAACAGATAAGATGAATTAAAGTCTAAACATCTACTGGAATGCGTTGGTTTTATGTAAACATTAGCTTGCAATTGACCTTCTTCCGTTCGTTTGATTTTACAGTCTGACATAGCTAATTCTCCTTGTTCATTTTCCGATTCAAATGTGAATTTTATTCCCTTCAACTGGGAGTTTATATGCATCAAGAAGCTAGAGATATGTTCTGTTTTCAACACCGTAAAAGTGTCATTCACATATATATTCACCATATTTTCGAAGTAGGATTAAATGTATTTAAAACAATATTTTGCTTGCCGTCCATAAAGATATCTGCTATGATAGGGGATACTGGTGATCCCATCGCTACACCATCTGTTTGTTCATATATTTTGCCCTGGAATTTAAAGACGGTAGATGTTAGGCATAGCTAAATTCCTAAAATAATTTTCTCAGCGGGCAGCCTTGTCCTATGGATAGGTTTTGAGTCAAAAGTTACTTCCATTTAACCGCTAATAAGGCCGTATCGATTAGTACATTAGTATACAGACTAGTCATATCGCAAATGACCATTTGTTCATTATTCTCTAAATGAATGCTATTAAGTTCCCTTTTCATTACACAGATTATTTAGCCTGGAGTATGAATGATTCAATATGGGACATATTATTAGAGCTAAGTGTTTTGATAATTCATATATCTGCGTAATTCTGAGATCTACTACTGGTATTATGTGGTGACCTGCTTTATGTATATTTAGACTATTGTAGCGGTAATAAATTCCCCAGAATTATTGGCCACGGAATTCATCACTGAACATTCGATGCTGACCCTCACTATCTGAATCAGTTTGTTAAGCTGAAGGCTGTAGGTCAAGTATCCAAGCCATTTGGCACACTGTCGTGTTACGTTTGTTCGTTTGTGCACGATCCCTAGCTGGTTAAGCAATCATCTAGCACTCCGATTTGGTCCCGAAATATAACTCGTAATTTGGACGATCAATTCTGATGTTTTGCTTAGCCTTTGGTCTACGTAGAACGAATACTACAGAAGTTGTGGGTATTAGATCTTGCCTAAGTATACTTCGTACTATCCGTGAACGTCAATACCTTTAGCCTCTCAAGTGCCATACTTCTTACCGGCTTTATTAGTCTTAGGGATTAAATTACACCATTTAGACTCACCGAATGACGGCTTCATTGTGCCATCTCAACCTATTCAGCTTGCCTACCTTGAAGACTAACTCACCCTCCTCACCAAACACTTTGATAAATAATATATATTTATTCCTGTTTATGCAGGAACATACCAATTGCACAGGCATGGATAAGTTATTATATAAACTACGCATATTTTGATGTATGGTGAATCTACAGTTTGTTTGTTCTTTCTGACATTAGAGTCAGTCGGAACGGTCTGCTAAATAGTCTATCTGTGTAACACTTATAGAGATGTAGAAATATTGTCTTCGCATTAACAAAAAACCCAGACATCAGATGAATGTAATACAAATATCTGGGAAAAATAAGGCTTGAAGTCAATTCTCCTATATAACTTTGTTGTGAACAACATCCTTGAGTTAAGGTTTATTGATGTATTATTTTGAGGCCAGTGATGTATTTATTCCATTTTTTCTGCAGTCTAATCGTAGTTTTATAATAGGAAAGAAATTTGATCGTGGATACGAAAACTAGATAAGGTCATGTTGGATTGTTTTACTGCATCAAATGGGACCGAGGTCGATTCTAGAACTATCCATTGGCGCCATTTGTATCAGCATGACAGACTGTACATGTAAGTTGAGCAATACCTTGTAAACTGTTTGAAAACCAGTTGCTTCTTTATTTCAGATCAAGAATACTCCTTGTACAGAATGTTGGCCAGCGTTTTCAAATGGTGGCATCGGATCGTTCATGGAATTTGAGTTTGAATTTACTTAAATGGTCATTTCAGTTTAAATGTAGGGTTGCTCAACCTCGACCAGGAGGTAAATAGAAGTGTACGCTCAGCAACAGAATATCAGACAGAGAAAGTGTGTGAACATGAAAATAACATTAATG